CTGCAGATGGTGAAGTTACTGTGGTACGAACGTTCCATTACGCTAATTTATTCGTAATAAGTAATAACATCTAAATATGTTCTATCTAATACTTGCTTTTGGTATGCTAAAATATGTACTTGAATATTAGCGAAATTCCAGGATATTCAATTTGTATGATTTATTCTTCTTGTATACAAATCTTGCCTATGCCGCTCCTCTCCTCGTCCATGTTCTTCGAAGAGGCGGGGTTTTGCAAAGGTCGATCCAATTCCGAGTCCCGTAGAAGATCCTTATGATGGTGTAATTGGACCAACTAATGCAAGTCCTCAGTAATTCAAGTATTTAATGTCCTTGGACATGGCACCAAGGACATTAAATTAAGATCATGATCACTTAGATATATTCTTGTATTCATGTATACTATTATCTTCCATTGTCATGTAACAATTAGGTGTATTAGTAGGAAGAATCCTTTTAATTATGTTACAACTTTTCTACGTATACTAACACATCAATACTTGTATAAACGTGCGATGATTCAAAAAAGTTTTATTAATTTACTAAGCAACGTTGAACCAAAATGAACTATATAGCATGGTCACACAGTTGTGCCCACCCATTCGTTATGTCAGTAAAATTTTATTTTATTTGGGTCCCCTATTTTTTATAGTACCTGATTGACTATGAAATAATTGGAGTAATTGTCCCAATTATTTCTTTTCATTTTGAAGTAATTAACATTACATTAGAAAAAAATGTTGTTAATATGTGTAAAGTCCAAAAAATTAGATGATAATTTGTCTAAACCTAACCACAAAGGTGGTGTCTGATTGGTTGAGCTTGCCTCCAAAGGTCAAAAGTATCAGGAGTTCCCAGGTTTAAATCCAAGGAGGAATAAATCCCCTTGTGGCCACGAAGGTTCAAATGCGGTAACTCCGGACTATCTGCAAAGCAGGTGGTCACCCTAGGATTAGTCGGCTCGTATAGCGGGTTGAATATCCAGGTTAATCAAAAAAAATTATCTGAACATCATAAAAACCTAAAAAAAATTACAAATTGTACTTGATAAATTTACTTCTATACACTTTTAGATTGATCCAATCTTGAGAAGACGCGAAAGAGGAAAACTAATAAAACACTAGAAGTACGAATATATCACATGTGATAAATGTCTATAGTTGCCACGATAAATATGTGATTTTTCCTGCAAATGGTTACACATTTATTGCTTTATGTGATAATCACCATTGAATTATTTGTCAATTCGTTTATTTTATATGTTATTAATAACTTTTTTACTTTAAGTATGTTTTTATTAAATATATATCAGCAACCCATAAGTACCACACGTTTATTCTACTTTTAATAACAAAAATAAAGGAACACTACTGTAAAAAAAATCGAGTTTATAAGATATTAAAAATGTCCAGATATCACAATAGAGTATTTTGTAGAACTTAAATTTATACGATCAAACACTTGTATGTCATATCTAAGGGTGTTGTAATAACTTTATATCATACTTTTGGAAGTTTTAATTAAAATTCTTGATGTGATTAGACTTCTTAAAAATATCCTATAAAAGTGTTAATATGACAATTTATTATAAAAAAAATCCTAAAAGAACTTTTAAAACACTGAAAAACGTCTATAAACTTATTATAATGTTTTTAGATAGAATACACAAATAATGATTGTTCCCGTAAATCTAAGTCTTATAAAATAGTTTATTATGACATTTCAACACTTTTGACGTCCTATAAACTCGATTTTCTTGTAATGACTGGTCATATTGATTGAACATACATGCTCACGAATTCTTCACAAAAGTCGTCATCGGATGGGCACAAGAAAAATACCCCTCGATGTAGCCAATTGCGGACTTACATTCATCGTTATTTATTAGAATCCGTGTGTAAAGTTCACATATGTCTTCCTAAAAAAACATCACACTCAACTAGTTGAAGAGTCAAGCGTTCACATCTCTTCATATTCTTTTTCCAATTCCATCTTTTTATTCATTTAATTTTAGGAGTGTAATTTTCATACATGTTGATGGACTTTGTACCACTAATACGTAAAGAATCTTGCACCCTCTATTTCGTTTTATATATATTCAAACAACGAAGGATTGGAAATTTACAGGCAATGTGACCTTAGAAACAGGCCCGACCCTAGATACGTACAACCCGTGCGATCGTACAGGGCATCAAAGCCTAAATGGGCATCAATTTTTTTATATAGTGTTATTTTTGGGTTTTGGGGTTTTAATAATTTAAGACTTGAGCTTTAATCATAAACGGAGACCCAACTGACCAGGCATGTTAATAACAAACCCAGGGGCTTGAATCGGTGACAATAGGATAGACGCTACACAAGACGATTGGCTTTGGCGATTTGAAATAACACAAATCGGTCAAATTATTTGCAGAATCACATGTGATTTTACAATAACGATCGATGCAAAGATGTGAAAGTCAGTAGTCACGTGAATCACATGTGATTTTACACGTGACTTCAATGTAAAATCACATGTGATTCAACCATTTTCATATTCTTATATGAACCTAGTGTTGTGTGTGTGTGTATGGTCAGATTCATGGAAAACCGCAAACAAAATGAAAAAAAAAACTGAGTAACACCCTGGCAATGGCGGATCCAAGATTTTTGTCTAGTGGCAATGTTTCGAGGGATTTTTAAAGTTTTTTGGTTGATTTCGAAAGATTTTTTATAATGTTTTTGTCGATTCCCTTTGAAAATAATGAAAACCACCAAAGAAAAAGATGATAATGTTTCTGGTCTGCTAACCATAACCATATGGAATAGTCGAATTCGAAGAAGAATGACGACGATGAAGAAAAAAACAAGAAAAACAAACGTTTGTATCGTTTTCTTAGCCAATCTTGACTCACACTACAACAAAATCGAGTTTATAGGACGTAAAAAAAGTTTAAATGTCCTAATAGACCATTTTATAGAACTTCATTTATTGGACCAAAGAAATAAAGTGTCCTATCTAAGGCGTTATAATAAGTTTATATGACGCATTTGAACGTCTTAACAAGTCTTTTAGGACGCTTTAATTACAAAACGTCCCATTAGCAATTTTATAGGACACCATCTCAAGAAGTGTCCTATAAAAACAAGAGTTCTGTAAAACAAATAAGATTATAGAACGCTTTCCCAAAAGTGTCTTATAAAATTACTAATATGATGCTTTATATTAGAAGTGTCCTAAGAACTTGTTAGGACACCCGAAAACGTCCTATCAACATATTACAACGTTTTTAGATATGGCGATTTATATTTTGGTCCTAAAAGTTAAGTCTATAAAGCAGTCTATTAGGACACTTACAAATTGTTGTCATCCTATAAACCCAATTTTATTGTAGTGTCAATAACTATCAAAGAGGCGGTCTACTGATTTCTTGTACCGCATAGTGCAAAGTTCTTTTTAGTTTTCTTAGACTATTTTTTTAATTATGTAATATGTATTTAGGAATGAATGTATTTAAACTTTTTAATTGTTTGGACTACGGTCACATCATCATCGATTATATAATAAAATTTTAATCACATAATTATTTGATTGTAGGTGTGAAGTGCGTTAGATACAAACTGCATAAACCGCACCGCATATCGCAATGCGGTTTTTTTTTTGCGGTTTGAGACATGTAGTGCGATTTGCGTTTGGGAAAAAGGTCAAACTGCATATCAGGTGCGGTTTACGATTTGGCACCAAACTGCACCACTAACACCCCAACTCATGCATCCTCCTCAATTTTGTCAGTACAGTAATATTAGATTTATAGAACGCCACAAATCATTAAATGTCCTAATAGACTATTTTACAGGACTTCAGTTTTGAAAACAAAATAGATATGACAATATAAAAACGTTGTAATAAGTTTATAGCACGTTTTCGGGCGTCTTAAATAGTATATGACACTTTTGAAATAAAACGTCATATTAAAAAGTTTATATAAAATTAATTAAAAAAGTGTTCTATAGACACAAACATCCTATAAAAAAGATGTCTTTTAAACTTTTCTCAAAAGTATCGTATAAAAAAAAAAGCTAACATGACACTATATTTTTAAAAGCGTCCTAAAAACTATTTAAGACGCACCAATATGTCTTATAAACCTATTGCAGTACTTTAAATATGATACATATCAGTTTGGTGATATAAAATATGTTCTATAAAGTAGCTTATTACGATATTTATAAAATCCAGACGTTATATAAAGTAGTATATTAGGACATTTATAGAGTTGTCGCGTTTTACAAACCCAATTTACTGTTGTGTATGGTTTAAACCTTTAACGTCATTGAAGGTTGTCCAGCCCACCTTTACTGATTCAAATGCTGTGGAGTCAAAAACATTTTGATGACAAAATCGACCCTTTATGACGGGGAATAGTCAAAATATTAGAGTTGAGAAATTCTATTAAGGTAGTCAATGCCATTGATAAAAGTCGCAAAGATTGAAATTTAAAGTTTGCAAAGAAAAATAACAAATGAAGAGAGTGGCAGAACTTTTTACACATCAATTTTGGCGTATCAAGGACGTACTTTGACAAATTTTGTTAAAGGTAAAATTTACTACTACAATATATATATATATATATATATATATATATATGTGTGTGTGTGTGTGTCTTTATGTCAATGTCTAGAACAATAATGATTAAGTTACTAACAATTTAAATTTAAATATATATATATATATATATATATATATATAAGTGTATATATACTTGGAAGCACGTGAGACCAGCTTGTTTTTGTGTGACTCGTGAGACAACTTGAAACTTCACAGCAAAACGCTATGAAAGTAACATTCACAGTGTTTTTGTTGTGAAGGTTCATTTTTTTTTACCTTCATAACATTTTGTTGTAAAGTTTCAAGTGTAAAAATGTAGTCTCAATGTGAATCCAACCCTATATATATATATATATATATATATATATATATATTATATAAATAATGTGTATATATATACCCGGATAAGAAAAGAGACCATACCAAAACCATAACAAGATAGATCGTGGTCCATGGATTTCAAGGTCTGTATTTCTCGTTTTCTTTGGATTGTCTTGATCATCGTTTTGGCTTATGGACATGGAGCAGGAGCAGGTAAGCATTATTATACAACTTCCATTTTTCAAATTAATTTATTGGTATTAATAGCAATAGTCTGGCCTCCAAGCATCTTGTTTGKTGGTCTTGCGGGTTCAAAACATGTTTTTTTGGTCATCGATTGTTTTTTGGTCGCCAAGTTCTTACCCATATCGTATAGTTTAATTTGTTTCTGGCATGCAGATCGCGTAATTGATCCTGTTCCAAATCCTGGAACCGATTCTCCTCATAACAGACACTTGTTAGAAACTGTTCGAGGATCTTGAATGATGATCATAATTAATCACAATACAGGACTATAGTAAGTCCTGGGTATTTTCATATTCTTGAGAAATTGTAATCTTTCATCCTTATTGAATCCATCTTTATAAACATGATTTTGCTCTTGGATGTGATTTCTAGTCCAAGAGCTTGAATAAATATCATAATCAAAATACTGTAGTACTACATATCCTCTAATTTCTGTGTATTATTATCCATTTGTTATCCTTGTTGAATCCTTGTTTTTTCCTTTTTTTATTATTACTACTATATGTGTGCGTTTCTTAATTATGAATATGATTTCTAGTTGTTATATGTTACCGTTTCAAGTTATCTTCATGTGCTGAATTGTAGTAGTTAGCATGGTTCTAAATAACTCGTTATGCTATCGATGTTTTGCTTCATGGTTACGTTAATGAAGTGGCTCCATTCTAAGGCTTGGAGTGTATTGTAACACGTTATGGCGTGTAATGGCCTACTACGTTGTGCTATTTTGTAATTTTTGATTTTTTTTCATTAATATATGACTTGGGGTTGGGGATAAACTATAATTATATACACGATCTATGACTTTAATAAAAACAAAATAGAAACTTAAAAACTAAAATCCTAAATATGCAATTCCTTACTCCGATTACCACACACGGAGAGTTGAACATGGATTCCTTGAAGATTAAAGAAAGTATTAAGAAGAGTTTGAAGATCTAGACTTAATCTCGATTTTGTACTCTTGATATATATGGATCTAAATTTTTCTACGGTATTATTTATATAAAACACTAACATACACAATATATATATATATATATATATATATATATAGTTTCAAGTTCATGAGAAAACCATACAAAATGAAAAACTGAGAAATACTCTGATAACCATTCATCTGTTCAATATACACATGTGCATACAAATAACTTATAAGTAATTTTTTGGGTAAGCACATTTGCATAGCATGCACACATGCATAGAAACAAAGAAACAACTTCAATTACATGTATATATATGTACATACCATACAGATTAATAGCTACCAAGGTTTTCCTCGGTTATTCATTTTTTGAGGGCTTTCCCATATTAACCCCCCCATCTCTCTCTCTCTCTCTCTCTCTCTCTCTATATATATATATATATATATACATAAAAAAATGCCTTTAGACGAATTTTGAGCCAGAAGTTGAATTAACGAAATTGCCTAAGGTGTTTTCTTATTCATGATTTTGGGAATATATGTGAATATGTATCCTATATTAGTGGGGAGAGGAATAAATTGTTGGCTTATACAAAAACAAATATCTTCTTTATCATATGTATTTTAAAACCATTAATTTAAATGTCAACAAAAGTAACAACATTTAATAAACTTCATCTGAAATGTTACAAATTAGCTTGTACCAATTTTTAAGCATTTATATATGCCATTTGGGGATTGTTAGTTTAAAATAAAATAGAACATATTTTAGGACATTTGTTGTGCCTAGCTTTATATATAGGAACCTTAGCCTGTTGGAAAAATTAAACTAAACTAAATAAAACATAATTACTTTTGAGCTCACGTAAATAAAATACTTTAATAATTACTTTGACTAGTACCCTTGACTCAAAGTCTGATGTTCCCTCCACAATCTGTCTAAAGGACTCAGTGGAGAAACCAGTGTTTATCATCAATGATGTGATTGATGCAACACGAGTCGAAAAACCACATTGATTGTTTAGGTTCTTCAAAATTTGAGACACGGTAACATTTCTTCCTCTAAATTTATTTCGGCATAGTGAGCTCATTTCTCCCAACTAGGACATTCATATTAGAAGTGCCCTAGTTTATGACTTTTGTATCACTTTGCAGTTTTTTTTTGAAACCTTGTCTGCCTCTACCTGTACCTCTTCCACGACCTTAGAAAAAAAGTTCAACCACATCTTCCTCTTTCACCTTCGTATGAGGCATTCAAGGCTTGTTATTCGTTTCTAACATTTTCAAATAATATTTTATGGCACACAAGTTTATAGTATCAAACCAAAAAACGTCATATCTAAAAGTGTTACAATAAGTTTATAGTACGCTTTAAGTTGTTTTAACAAATTTATTAAGACGTTTTTCAAAATAAAGTGTTGTATTAACTATTTTATATGGCACGAAGTATCATCCTCAAACCGATGGGCAGAGTGAAAGAACAATCCAGACTCTCGAAGATATGTTGAGAGCATGTATTATTGACTTCAGGTGATCTTGGGAAAATCATCTGCCTTCAAYTGAATTCGCTTACAATAATAGTTATCACTCCAGCATCCAAGTGGCACCTTATGAGATTTTGTATGACTGAAAGTGCAGGACGCCGTTGTGTTGGAATGAAGTGAGGGAAAGGCAGTTAATCGGTCTAGAAATTGTACAGATAACTTCTGAAAAGATTGAGTAGAAACGTGAACGTATTAAAACGGCACATGATCAACAGAAAAGTTATGCCGAATGCGCCATAAACCGATTGAATTTTGGTAGGAGATTTTGTGATGTTAACGGTTTCTCCCTAGAAGGGTATTCTTCGATTTGGAAAAAGAGGTAAACTCAGTCCGAGGTATATTGGGTCGTTTATAATTTGTAAGCGGGTCGGTTTGGTTACATATCAGTTAGAATTACTAGAGGAACTCAACTCAATTCATAACACTTTTCATGTTTCTAACTTGTGAAAATGTTTAGCCGATCCGAACTTGGTAATACCATTACCTGAGGTGAAAGTGGATAACAAGTTAAATTTTATGGAAACTCTTGAAGCTGTCACTGACTTGAAAACAAAAGTTTTAAGGAAAAAAGAAATTAGTCTTGTGAAAGTTTAGTGACATTTTCGCAAGGGTTCAGAAGCTACCTAGGAATTGGAATCTGAAATTAAAGCATATTATTTGTGGTTATTTGACTGATTGAATTCCAGGATGGAATTTTTTTGAGGGGTGGATAATATGATAATCGGGTTCTGATTATATAATCGGGTTCTGATTATATAATTTGGGGTGGTTTTTGAAAGTTTTGGTAAGTAAATCATTTTAAAATATTTATGTTTTGTGATTACCTATTTAATTACTTATTATATTTCCACCGTCTATGATTATATATATATATATATATTACTTGAGCAGTTGAGCCTGTGTGTGTGAATTGTGGATTATAGAATATTGAACCTCCACCGCCTGAGTTTTGATGATATATAAAAGTGAGAAGATAAGACTTATCTTGTCTACCTATTATGTTTTGAGGAAAAAAGGAAAAAKAGAAAGAAAGCTTGTTGTATGTGTTTCTTGTGTGAAATACTACGTGAAGTTGTTGGAAAAAAAAAAGAGAAGCTGATTCTGTGATATGTGATATTATTTGAAGTTGTTGCCGTGTGATTCATCTTCGAATACGTGCATAAGGTGAGTTTATGTCATGAAATTTATTTATTTGATGTTTACAATATTGAACCGCATGGTTCATATGTGGAAAAAAAATTGATAAACAGTTCTTGAAAGCTATTTGAGTTTGATGGTGAATATATATAGAGCTTTAAGGTTCTTATATGAGTCTCTGTTTTGAAACGGTTTTGGTTGCCAGTTTTGGTAAAAAAAAGGTGGTTTTGGGTCATGAGTATATCATGATTTGTTTTAATAAGGGTGACACATCAAGGAGTTGCGTACATTGGTAATAAGGGTGACATAATTAGGAGATGCGTACATTTGTAACAAGGGTGACATAATCAGGAGTTGTGTACATTGGTAATAAGGGTGGCATAATCTATTTTATGGAAATGATGATATTTTGATCATGGATTTTGTATCACATTCTTGTGAGGTGATGATCTTAGGTTATCATATCTATGTGATATGAGGATTTGGGTTGTTACATCCTATGGATGTGATGAAAAGAAGTGTTTGAGGACCAAAGGGGCTCTGGTTGGTCTTCATGTGGAACAAGAGGACCTTTGGTTGTATGTGGGACTTTGGTTTTCAAAACATTCAATTCATCTTGAACCAAAGGATCTATATGTACTATGCAGAGGCTCTGTGTTTGGAAATGTAATGACAAATCTAAGCTCTRTWTYCGAGCTCTGTATCTAAAACTTGTTGARCTTGTATCATTTTCAAACTTGTTTCTTTATTTACATTTAGAACCTAGAGCTTAACTCAACCAAAAGAGGTTAGGCGAATTATTCAAATTATTTGTTAAAGTCTTTGAGAAAATATTGCAATMTTTGGTAGAGGACAAGAGAGACTCTGGTTGACCTTTATGTTTAACCAGAGGCCTCTGGTTATACTTAAAACCTAAATATTTTAGGCTCAACCCAATTCTTATTTTTCATAAGCTTTAGCCAATGACCAAGAGCTTTGGTTGGTCGTTTTTCCTTGGTTTTAAAGATTGAGACCAAGAGCTCTGGTTCATCACATATCCTTGTATGTTTTAAAAGTGGAGATCAGAAGCTCTGGGTGGTATGATCAGAGGCTCTGGTCGACTAGAGAAGCTCTGGTTGGTTTGACTAAGGATTTCTATTCTTAAGTTAAATGACCAGARGAGCTCTGGTTGAGCATATTATGTGTTTAAATTATTTCAAGATTGATCTAGACTTCATGATTAAGTCTTTAGTGACTTTGTTTTAATTGGATTTGCTCTGGCTTAAGAGCCAGAGGAGCTCTGGGTAATCCCGCCTAGTTTGATGCAAAAACTTTGAGAATCTTGCCTAGAGTAATGCGAGGACTTGAGTGGTCATGCGCTATGAGTGGCAAGGAAGAATTATAAACTCTTATTGAAATATGATATTTGAGTTTTGTCTTATAAAAAGTTGAGATATATTTGTATGATTATAAATGTGATCTTTAAACAGATTTTGGTGATTTTTACTCTGTAATTGCAAAAAAAAAAAAAAAGATTTATCATTAGACCTCAAGGTCTAACCCTCATTTTGTATTTCAAAAATGTGCATTGTAGGTCAGGCTTTACCAAGGGATAAGGGGAAGGGGAAAATGTGAAATTTTCCTTTTGTGCTTACATGATTATGAAGAACAATATGTTGTCTGTTGGGGTTTTGGAATCTGCCGTTCAGGAATCGCGGCAGTCGTAGCTGTTGCTGGAACAACCGGAACAATAGCAAATGTGGAATTTCAGGATCCACACCTTCCAGAAAGAGGGACATCCGGTTCTTCCAGAGACTAAAGTTGTCACGGACAAACCGGGGAGGTTTGGCAAGAGAGCCATTATCTTTTGTGTGTGTGTTTGTAATT